CATCCTACAACATGGATGAACTTTGAGGACACAGAGTGACATAAGCCAGTCACAAGATGAGAGATACTGGGTGATTACAGAGATATCTAGGGGAGTCGAATTCATAGACACAGGAAGTGGAATGGGAGTTGCCAGGGCTGGGGTGGGGCAGAGGAGGCAGAAGGGGAAGTAGGGAGTTATTCAGTGGGTGAGAGTTTCCATTTTGCAAGTTGAAACTCTCTAGAGGTTTGTTGCACAGCCATACGCACACAAATGGTTAAGATGGCAAATTTTATTTTACCTGGGTTTTTAACCACGATAGGTAGGTGGATGGATGAATGGATGGATAACAAAAATAGGTCGGGTGTGGTGGCTCAAGCCTGTAATCCAGCACTTTGGGAGGACGAGGTGAGAGGATTGCCTGAGCCCAGGGATTCGAGACCAGCCTGGGCAACTTGTCTCTATAGTATATATAAAAAAAAATTAGCCGGGCATGGTAGCACATGCCTATAGTTCCAGCTACTTGGAAGGTTGAGGCAGAAGGATCGCCTGAGCCCAGCAGGTCGATGCTGCAGTGGCCATGTGCGTGTCATTGCACTCCAGCCTGGGAGACAGAGTGGGACTCTGACTCAAAAAAAAGAAAAAAATAAAATAAACCTACAAGCCATCTCTTCAACACTTCCTATTTCTGCACCCTACATTTCCCCTGAAATGTGTGTCTATCTTTTTTATCGTATTTATTTATTTGTTGTTTGGCTAGTTGTTCGGTTGGTTGATTGATTAGGATATATCCTTCAGTCTAGAATAAAACTTCATGGTGCCCTAGACTTTTTTTTTTGAGTTGGAGTCTCACTCTGTCGCCCAGACTGGAGTGCAGTGCTGCTCCCGGCCATCGCAGCCTCGACCTGCTGGGCTCCGGCGATCCTTCCGCCTCAGCCTTCCAAGTAGCCAGAATTACAGGCATGCGCTACATTTTTAAAAATTGATTTATTTTTGATTTATTGTAGAGATAAGGTCTCGCTGCCCAGGCGGGTATCGAACCCGCGGGCTCAGGCAATCCACTCACCTCAGCCTCCCAAAGGCGCGGGATTACAGGCTGAGCCACTGAGCCCGGCGCCCTAGACTTTTTAATGTTTTCCACAAGTGGATCCCCAACACCTACAGTGCTTGTCTCTTGGGAGATGCTCATACCTTTTCCTGAATGAATTAATGAATAAAAGGACGATGTTACCCTGCTACTCAGAACCTTCTACACTCTGAACACAGTCAATAAATGATGCGCGTGACATTTACACCAGAGGAAGGAAGGCACAGACATGGGGGTGGGAGGGGGAAGGGCATTTGAGGAGGGAGGAACAGCCCGTGCAAAGACCCAGAGGCACACACAGCCTTGTTCAGGTGATAACAATGCAGAGTCCAGCATGGATAGGGCACAGAGTGGAGGCAGGCAGCATTGGGAGGCAGGGCTGGGAACTAAGTGAGGCACATGAGGACCTCAATTAACGAGTGACAAAAATCTCAGAAGTTGAGATAAATAATATTTCAATGCAACATTTAAAAAATAAAATGAATGCCAAAAATCCATGGAAAACAAAAATATTTACAAATCCATATTAAAAGGAATGTTCTGCTGAGTCCGTTGCAGCCTGGAGCAGAACAAAATGTAAGCCTCTATTTATTTGTGTATATGTATATTTTTAATGATCAATCTTTTCCCGTAACATTAAAATAATTAAAAATATTTTTAACAAATTGGAAAGTGGTGTGTACTAAAATACCACTTCAAGTTTCAAGATTTTGTTTATATCCAAAACAGGATTTATTCCAGTTTTCCTTTTCTGGATCTACTGGAAGCAAAGCAGAGATAATATTTTCAAAATCGATTTCTTTCTTCCCTCATTTTACACTGGGAATGTGGCCCTGCTTCTCAATATCTCTTGGCTTGGGGATAATCTTTGATAATTTTTAACTAACTTTAGTTTATTGATCCTGCCATTATTAAAATTTTGATGTTTTACTTATCGTTGAGGACTTTTTTTTCCGGAGACAGGGTTTCAATCTGTCACCCAGGCTGCAGTGCAGTGCATAATCACAGGTCCCCACAGCCTCAGTTTCCTGGGCTTAAGCAATCCTCTTGCCTCATCCTCCTGTGTAGCTGCGACTATAGGCACATACCACCACGCCCAGCTAATTTTTTTTTTTTTTGTAGAAATAATGTCTCTGTTTGTTTCACAGGCTGGTCTCGAATTTCTGGTCTCAAGAATTCCTCCTGCTTTGGGCTCTCAAAGAGCTGGGATGGCAGGCATGAGTCACTGAACCCAGCTTCATTGTTTTTTTTTTTTTTTTTTTTTGAGTTGAAGTCTCACTCTGTTGCCCAGACTGGAATGCAGTGGCCGCTTCCGGCCACCACAGCCTCGACCTGCTGGGCTCCAGCGATCCTTCTGCCTCAGTCTTCCAAGTTACCACGCCCGGCTAAGTTTTTTTTTTTTTTATTGTAGAGATGAGGTCTCACCAAGTTGCCAGGCGGGTCTCGTACCCGCGGACTCAGGTAATTCACTCACCTCGGCTTCCCAAAGCATGGGATTACAGGCTGAGCCACTGAGCCCGGCCTTCATTGTTTTTAAAAGTGAATTAAAAAAAAAAAATAGCAGTCTCAATCTGTCACCCAGGCTGGAGTGCAGTAGCATGCCCCCCGCCACCACAACCTCGACCTGCTGGGTTCGGGCAATCCTTTGGTATTAGTCTTCCAAGTAGCTGGAACTACAGGCACACACCACTATGCCTGGCTAATTTTTTTGACTTATTGTAGAGACAAGGTCTTGCCATGTTGTCCAGCCTGGTTTTGAACTCCTGGGCTCAGTCAATCCTCTTGCTACCACCTCCCAAAGTGCTGGGATTACAGATATGAGCCGCTGTGCCTGGCTAAGTTAATTTTGATGTTTTTAAAAATAGCACATCAAAACTTTGTCTAATTACTGAGATTTCTGGCACCCCATTAAATTTTGCATTGAAGGAAGGGTCTCATTCACCTCACCATAATTCCTGCCCTACCAGAGTGGCAGGGGCTTAGAAGGCCAGAATGTGCAGGGCTGCAGACTGAGGAGCCTGGGCCTCATTCTCTAGGTCAGGGTTGGTAAACTGCAGCCTGTGGGTCAAATCCTGCCCCCTGCCTGATTTTGTAAATAAAGTTTCATTGGAACACAGCTGAGCTCATCATTTTCATTCATCATTTCATTTTCTGGGGTTGCCTTTCTGCTACCACAGCAGAGTTGAGTAGCTGCAACAGACTCCACAGCCCAGAGAGCCAAAAATATGTACTCACTGGCCTTTACAGATAAGGGTTTCTGGCCTCAGCTCTGGTCAGTGTCGGGGTGGACAACAGCCATTCAAATGCAGAGGAATTGGACAGTGATGACTTCTTTTTTTTTTGAGTTGGTGTCTCACTCTGTCGCCCAGACTGGAGTGCAGTGGCCGCTCCCGGCCACCGCCGCCTCGACTTGCTGGGCTCCGGCGATCCTTCCGCCTCAGCCTTCCCAGTAGCCGGAATTACAGGCATGCGCTACCATGCCCGGCTGATTTTTTTTTAATGTATTGTAGAGATGAGGTCTCGCTGCCCAGGCGGGTCTCGAACCCGCAGGCTCAGGCAATCCACTCACCTCAGCCTCCCAAAGGCGCGGGATGACAGGTTGAACCACCGAGCCAGGCTAGTGATGACTTCTAGATGGTCCCTCCAGTATAGAAGGCGAGGTGAGAGGCCGGGAGGTGAGGGGGTCCAAGACAGAGATCCTGAGACCTCAGCAATGAGATGGGTCGGGATGGAATGAGAGGTGGTGGTGGTGTGGGGGGGAGACCAATGTTAGCTGTTCTTAAAGGGGAAGCAAGTAAGACTTGGGGAACTTCGGATTGTAGAAAAGAAGGAATGCCTGGAGGAGGCAACTCCTCTGGGGGAGGGTGTTGTCCTGCCGTCAGCAATAAGGACTCAACTCTGACCTTTCTTCTCTTAACCAAATTCCTAATGAAGAGACTAGGACAATAATATCTGAGAAGGATGAACAGATAGGGCTTATTCTCCTGTTACCCTGTACACCAAAGTTTATTTTCCAACCTGAACCTGGCATGATATCACACAACAGATAAAGAAGAAAATCAAAATATTTTATGCCCCTGCAAAGCCATCTCTGGGGGACTCCCAGACCCCAGTCACTTGGTACTCTACTGATTTCCAAAATTCCATAGATAGGAATTATACATTTCCAACTCAGAAATTCTTTTTTCTTTCTTTTCTTTTTTTTTTTTGAGTCAGATTCTTACTCTGTCACCCAGGCTGGAGTGCAGTGGCACACTCATGGACATTGCAGCCTTGACCTGTAGGGTTCAGGTAATCCTTTTGCCTCAGCCTTCCAAGTAGCTGAAACTACAGGCCTGCACCACCATGCTTGGCTAATTTTTTGATTTATGTAGAGATGAAGTCTCGCCATGTTGCCCAGGCTGTTCTTGAACCCCTGGGCTCAGGTAATCCTCTTGCCTCAACCTCTCAAAGTTCTGGGATTAAAGGCATGAGCCACCATGTACAGCTTCAACCCGGAACCTGCACCTTGCTTCAACTTGCCACCTATAACCTGCAAGCCCCCACTTGGAAATGTCCCTCCTTCCCAGGCAGAACCAATGAAAATCTCACATGTATGGATTTATGAGTTTTCTAACATCTGCCTCCTTAAAATGTATATAACCAAACTGCCATTCAACCACCCTGGGCACAGATTCTCAGGACCTCCTGAGGATGAGTTTTCTTGGGCCTAAGGCCAATCATATTACCCAGAACAAACCATCTTAAAATATTTTACAGAGTTTGGCATCTTTTTGTTAACAGCAAGATGGGAAATCCTGCAGAGAAGCCAACTTGGGAGGAGGAAGAAAGGTGGAGAGACACTTTGGCTAAACCCAGCTGAGCAATCCTGTGGGCCATCCTGTGGGAGGTGTCCAGGCTGGAGGCTGGATGTGGAGATGCCTACATCACTCACCTGAGAAGTTGAGCCCCTGACAGCGTCTGCGTCCTCCATGCCTGCATCACCCTCACCTGCTGCTGGCCTTGCCGACTTCCTCCTGCAGGACCTCACTCTGAGTGAAGAGATCAGAGAGCCTTGATATTTTGCTTATCATTGTGTTTTAAAAATTAATTTTGACTTTTTTAAAATAGTGCATAAAAACTTTGTCTCAATTCCTGAGATTTTTGGTATCCTTTTAAATTTTGCATTGGAGGAAGTGTCTCTGTTACCTCACCCTAATTCCTGTTCTACTGGAGAGGCAGGTATTTAGGAGGCTAGAAATGTGCAGGGCTGAGGAGTCTGGGCCTTGTCTTTAGGTCAGGGGTTGGCAAACTAACAGCCCTCAGGTAAAATCCTGCCCACTGCTTGATTATGTAAATAAAGTTATTTATTTATTTATTTTAGTTTTTAATTTTATTTTAAAGATGTGGGGTACAATTCAGGATTAGGTATGCAAGTGGTAATAGTACAGGTAAAGTTTGGGCCTCCCTCTGGTCCCCACTTTGGGTTTTTTTTTTAAATTGGAGTCTCACTTTGTTTCCCAGGCTGGAGTGCAGTGGCAAGCTCACGGCCATTGCAGCCTTGACCTGCTGGGCTCCAGCGATCCTTCCACCTCAGCCTTCCAAGTAGCTGGAACAACAGGCATGCGCTACCATGCCCAGCTAATATTTTTTTTGATTTATTGTAGAGATGAGCTCTCTCCAAGTTGTTCAGGCTGGTCTTGAATCCCTGGGCTCAGGCAATCCTCTGACCTCGACTTCCCAAAGCGCTAGGATTACAGGCTTGAACCACTGTGCCTACCTGGTCCCCACTTTGTAAATAAAGTTTTATTGGAGCAGAGAGCTTTTCAAGCTTGACCAGATTGGGCAGCAGTGGGCGTAAGGTAGGGATCAGCAGGACTAGTTTCCAAGATAAAGATCACAGGCCTGGAACCTCACTGACAGGATGAGATGCGGTAAGAAGACAGGCTAGAGCCAGTGGAGACCAAGATAATGACCTCTATTTGTCCTTTTTTGCTCATTATACACTAATTTTTAATATACTACATCAGCATGCTAGAGGACGCGCCCACCAGTGCCATGACAGTTTACAATCACCTTGGCAACTTGCAGATGTTACCTTGTATGGTTAAAATGGGGTAGGAACCTTCAATTCTGAGAACTCTCCACCCCTTTCCTGGAAAACCCATGAATAATCCACCCCTCTGCATAGCATATCATCAAGAAAGAGGCATTAAAAACAAATATCCTACTGCATTCCAGCCTGGACGTTGGAGTGACACTCCAACTAAAAAAACAAAACAAAACAAAAAACAAATATCCTGTGTACATGTGGGTTGCTCTGCCTATCGGGTGGCCATTTTCCCACGTCTGCCTTTCTTGTATAAACTTACTGTTCTACTTATGGCTGGTGCTTGAATTTTCCTTCCTGCACAAAGTCAAGAAACCACTTGGCTTCTCAACTGATTCCTAATTCTGGGGTTTGCCTGCATAAGTTAGACCCAGACTTCTGCCGTTGTTAACTATTAAGGGGCTGGTCAGGGCGGGGGTGGAGGAGTGACTGAGTGGGAGAGGAGTGGTCCCGTCCTGCAGACCCCAATGTTGAGAACATAGGTTTCCTTTCGTGGACTTGGGACCTGAGGTTCACAGCCTCTGTGCCCCACAACCAAGGGCACTGGGGAAATTCTCACCAGGTTTGGACTTCCTTCCTACCCTTGCTTCCAGCTCTTGGCCCATTTGGGTCCTTCCAGCTCTGGCCCCAGGGACTCTGCTCCCAGCCTGTCCTTCCCCAGGACCTCCCACCCTCCCCAAGGTCGATGCTCACGCGACAAAGATGACGCAGAAGGACAGGAAGACCAGGGCGGTGGCTCCGGCTCCCGCAAGGGGCCCCAGCATCATGCCTGACCCAGGCCACTCTCCATCTGTGGGTAGACAGGAGCTATTGGAGGATTCACCCCAGGACTGGTCTCCTCTCCTCCCACTCCCAGACATCTGCTCCCCTCTCCCCTCCCAGACAGGATGGGAGGGAGGAGGGGATGGGATGAGGCGAGTGAGGCAGCAGAGTTGGGGGCTCCTGTCTTCACCTGTAATTTTGATATTGTGTCCACTGTGGAGTGACTTTGCCATTTTATTTTATTTGAGTTGAGGTCTCACTCCATCCCCCAGGCTGAAGTGCAGTGGCATGCCCACGGCCACCCCAGCATCAACCTGCTGGGCTCTGGCGCTCCTTCTGCCTCAACCTTTCAAGTAGCCAGAACTAGAGGTGCACGCTACTGTGCCCAGATAATTTTTTTGATTTATTGTAGAGACGAGGTCTTGGCAAGTTGCCTGGGCTGGTCTGTAATCTAACCCACAGGCTCAGGCAATCCACTTGCCTTGGCCTCTTAAAGTGCTGGGAGTACAGACTGAGCCACTGAGCCCAGCCACAATTTTATTTTTTTTAAAGATATTTGAATCGCAATATTATTTCACGCCCTTGCTGAATTGTTTTATGTTTGTCTTTTAAAATGTGGTGCCCAAGGTAATACCTCATGTTTCTCATCCTCATCCTTAAACTGCAAAGCAAGGACCTTGTCTCCCTAACACACCTGTCCAGGCCCAGATCCCTTCCCTTAATAACCCCTTCCTCCACTCACCCGTCCCACATCCCTTGCCTAACAGGAAGTAGACAGGGATGCCTTGGATCTAGGGAAAGTTCAGACCTCACAGCAGAGCACAGACCAGACCTGAGCTCCTCTCTGGAGTCCAGGGGCTGCTGGCTGAATGGTGAGCAGAGCAGGTGTGTTCTTCCCTCAGTCCCTCCCCTGACACCTCTGCACTCACTCTGCAGGGAGAGGCTCAGGGAGACATGCTGGGAGCCCAGAAGGTTCTGAGCTCGGCAGGTGAATTCTCCTTCATCTGCAAGGTGCATCTGAGGCAGCTTCAGGACCCCAGGGCTCGAGGGCTGTGAGGGGCTCAGGGTCAGGCTCCCCCGGGCCCAGCTCAGCCTGGCTGGAGGGTTGCTGCTGGCAGCACAAACCAGGAGTAGTGGCTGTCCTTCTAGAACCCGAAGAGATGAATCTTCTCTCAGTGTTTTGGGTACTGGAGAGAAAGAGACAGAGGGTCACAGAACAGAGATCTGAAGAAAGAGAAAGACAGAGTAAAGGACAGTTGAGGGGGAGCTAGCACACAGACAGAGACTGAAATGCCGGAAACACACACTATCACCCCTCACTGTTGAGAATGTTGACTTGTCTGCCCTTCATTGACAATTCCTTGGCCATATTTCTCAAAATTAGAAAAAACATATAACCCAGATACTTTGCATTTAAGAACTGACTGTGCAGGCTTAGATATACCCTTGTGGAAGCAGATAAGAGATTATTCACTGAAGCATGTCTACGGGAAAAACAGTTAATGCCCTGGCTCCCCATGAGGAGAAGATGTTCACAGAATCAGGATCCATCTGTTTTCATGGGCACCACACAGTCCTGGAGGAGAGTGAGGACAGTTCATCCCACTGATGTCAAACAACCCCTGAGATACTTAAGGTGAACACAGCAAGACTCAGAGCAGCCTGGACAGACACGGGTCGATTCTGGGGAAGGGGACGGGTACTGGGGACAGACTGTGCTGTGCATTTAGGATTGTAGTCCATGTGACTCCACCACCTGCCCAGAAGGACCTAGGTCAGAACTCTTGGGGGAAATAAAAGTTGAAGCAGAAAGCATGTTCAGGAGATCGGTGATGAGGCCCTGGAAGAGTCCTGCTGTGTAAATGTCACCCTGTACTTGCTGTGGGCCAAGGCATGTGTGTGTGGAGGAGTCTGAGGGCAGTGAGGGGTAGATGAGAAAGGTGCTCAGGGGTCCAGTGACTGAGAGTGGGGAGCGGCCCTGGGTTCACCCACAAGGGAGTCTCTGATGACCAAGTGAGTCCAGGATGAGGAGGGGCCCTGCCCTGAGCTGAAGGTCTTGATCCCCCACCCAAGGAGGGGGCTCCATCCTACCTGTGTCATTTCCTTGGTAGACAGTCACTGTCAAGTTCTGAGGGGCGTCTGGACAGAAAGACAGGACAGATCCACATCATTGTAGGGGTGGTGGACACTGGCCCTCTATCTGGAGCTGCGTTATGGGGAGGGTAGAGCCTGGATCCTCCTGACCTCACCCCCTGACCAGATTCTAGGATGCAGAGCACTGTGTCTAGCCCTGACTCCCGTCCTGCTGCCCTCAGGGACCCCTACCCCTTACCCCCAGTCAGGGACCCGGGTCCAGCTCTCACAGGACACATTGAGATGGATGGTTCTGGTCCCAGTCACACCGGCCACAGGCAAAGTCACCTGACAGGTGAGGCTGGAGTTGTGGTCCTGGGGCTGCGGAATGAGGGTGAGCACTGAGGAGGCAGCGCTGATGGGGCTCCGGGGGGACACAGAGGTCCCCATCCAGGAGATCGTGGGGAGCCTTCCCTGTTCACAGGCCCAGGACACAGAGCAGGTCAGGTTCCTAGGGCGGCCGGACTCCAGGATCCCTGGGTTGAGGATGTAGGGAGTCAGATCTAATGAGGAGAGGAAGCACATAGGATTAGGAAGGAGGGTCCGAGGTGTGGCCTTGGAGAAGCTCAGGCTCTGGTCCAGCTCCTCCCCTGGAGTCCAAAATGCTTCACTCCAACCCCCTCCCAGGATGGGGTCCTATCCCAGCCCTGCCCTGTGGCCCCACAACTTTCCC